TCTCCACGCCCTCTGCCACTTCAACCAGTGTTCCCTCATCTTGGGCGCCGCCCTCGGCTTCCTCCTGTTCCTTTTCTTCCTCAGGGCTGTCGGTGAAAGGGTTCTCGCCCTGCAGAGGAGCAAGGATGCTGAAGGGAGGGAGGATCCCCGGGGCCAGAGACCAAGGCTGGGGGACCAAGACACAGCTGGAGCCGGCGCCAGACGCCAGCGCCTCACCTTCAGGTAGCGTTCCAGCTTCTTGCTGATGAGTTTGTTGTTGAGGATGCTGCGGGCCACCATGAGCGAGGACTTCTTGGACTGCTCCATCATGAGCTGCGGGCAGGGCAGGGTAGGCGGGGCTGGAGAGGATGCTCTGGGCACTGAAAGGCCTCCCACCCCACCAGATAGGCACACCTCCGCCTCGACTCCAACTAGATTGTGTAGGTCTGTAAGGTGGTAATGTACTTTGGGTACAAGCGTGAGGCCAACTTACAAGCATGGAGCCAAAACCGGATTTTATCATTGCTCTAATGCTCCATCCTGCCACACCACACTTACTGTATGCTAACTGACTGAAGGCCTGTCTTTACAGCTGTATTGAAGAAATCTGATTTACTTGTACAAAAATTATAAGCAACAAGCGAATAGATTTAAAAACCTACTAAAAGCCAAATGTGCAAACCGTAACAAGGAGCCAGCTGCCCTAATATGCACAGAACTCTTAATCAACAGGGAAAATATAAAAGCAGGAATAGGAACATCAGTTTATTTAAGTGATACGCATCCTTTTAATCCATAGGCATTCCAGGATGAAGAAGTACACCCAAATGGCAAGATTTGAAAAAGGCACTTCTACTCCACTCTAGTAAGAAGCTCAACTATTATATTTTCTGGAAAGCAGTTTGATAGAATGTATCAAAAGTAAAAATTTGTCCAGGTAATTCCTTGAATCTACCCTACCTTAAAGACTTGGAAATGTGCATGCACAGTGGTTCCACTAGTGAAAAACTAAAGTATCTAAACAGTTCAATAGAAGAGTGGTTAAACAGATCACACATTAAAAGAACACTATGCAGTCCTTAAAATAAGGCTCATCTCTCTGCTGGCACGATAATAAAGATGTGTGATAGACCATCTGAATAGCTGCCAGAGGCTTTTGTCTGGGAGGACTTATACCAGAATGCTAGGTGATTTCCTCTGTGGTGAGAACACAGGCAAATCTAAAGTTTCATCATTACAAAGGTAATGCATGTATAAAGCCATAAGCAGAAAGGAAACAATAAAGCCATTTTTGTTGTGGGGGGGACACCTCCAGGACCCCTACTCAACTCCAGCCACCTCTTTATCTTTACATCATCATTCAGAAAGCCGCCTCACTTGCTCTTTCTACTCCCCTTCCTTGCCTTCACCCTTTTTTCTTTACACATTTCCTCTATCACTTGGGGAAAATATTAATAGGCTTCATGCATACTCCAAAGGAAACAAGTTAAAGATGCACAGTTAGGATACTACTACAGACCAGTTCCTCCCCAACTCTTTTTCACTTGCCAACATATTCTCCTTGGATGAGCACATATGGACACACCACAATGTCCCCTAATTGAGGCACATTTACATTGTTTCCAGATTTTCACTGTAATTATCAAATACCATCGGAATGAACTAAAATACTTATATGCTGGCATTTTTAATTCTACCAAACAGGTTCTCCAAAGGGAGAGTGCCTAAGTACTCTGGAGAAAAGCTGTAAGCCATGATGCTTCCCTCTACCTATATTAAAACAATGTACTTGTCCCCTGCCTCTCCATCAGCATCAGATGTTATCACTGTGGGGTATTTTTGTGCGTCCCATGGCATGTCCCTGTCCACCAGCAAATCCAAGTGCTCTGATATGCACACTGGGCCACCTGCCCAATATCTCTATGCAGTCATCCTTTCCATGGCCTCTGGGTTTCCCTGCTTGCTCAGGAAGGCTTCCTTTAACAACAAGGTAAACAATCTAAATTTTATTTTTTTTACATTTAAGATTTCTGGACTTTAAATATATGGTATGAAGTAGGAGCCACCTTTCCTTTCAAAAAATGTATAAGATAAACCAGTTTCCAGCATTGAATTGATACGAGGTCACACCCCTTACCTACAAAACTGATATGCAAAAAGAAGAGTTTTCCCTCTAAAACTCATTTGATGGCAAAAAACAAGCTGACATTATGTTTTTGTGCCATCCTTATTTATCCCACCTGTACAAGTCATTTGAAGAATTACTTATAGTTCAAGAAGATACTTTCCCAGATCCTGCTAGGTAAATGAGTGATCGTACCATGTAGCTGTTCTGAAATCCAAAATTAATTGTTCTGAAATTCAAAAACATCTGGCCCCAGGGTTTCAGATAACAGACCTTTATTGACTTTGACAAATACTAAATTCCAAAACACACTGGGATCTTTCACTAGACTCTACTCTGGTTATAGTTTTATTACTATGCCGATATCACTTTTTTGTTCTTCATGGCAATGGCTTTGTTTTAAGTTATATCTCCTAAAGCAAGGCCCTGAAATCATTACTGCTTTTTGCAAAATTTCCTTGGCTACTGTTAGATTTACCTTTATGAATAAAACTTTAATTTAAGCCATTCCCTTCCCCAGAATGACTGGAATTGTAGTCTACATTAATGGGAGAACTAGTTTTTGTTTTGTTTTGCTATTAAAGCTCCCATCTAAGAACATGGTGTGTTCCTACATTCACTGAGGTCTTGTTTCATGTCTTTGAAGTTTAAGATCTACATTCATAGCTATTTCATACATTTTGTAGTTACTGTGAATAGATTCTCTGCTTCCCCATTTATGTTTCTAACTTTATTACAAGAGTGGAGAAAAACTAGTACTTTTTCTACGTTACCCTGAATTCCAACCCCCCTTACCTAAATTTATGAATTCTAAGAACATTTTGCTGGAATCATTCAGCCTTTCTAAGAATATAACCATATTACTTGCATATGAAGTTTTAATTTCCAGTATTTTATACTAATGTTGCTTATTTCTTCCTGAACCATCCTTGCATTCCAGAAACAAACTTTACTTAGTTATAGTATATCCTATATTTAAATCACTACTGTATTGATAATTAGTAATATTTTACTGAACACTTTCATTCTTTAATAATAAATGAATCCACAGCTTCATCATGGTATTATCCTGATTAGATTTTTCCCATTAAGGTTAAAAGGCTTCCTAAAAATGAATTTGAGGATAAACTTTCAGCATGGCAGCCTGAGCAGCTCTGTGGACCTGCTCCCTAGTGAAACTAAAGAAAACGAAAAAAATAAAACAAAGCAAAAAAACCCCGACCGTTTGAAGTCTCTGGAAATGGTCGTAAGAACATACAACAAATGAAATATTTAGTGAGGAAAAGCTGCTAAAACTCAGAAGAAAGTGAGTTGGTGGTTGAAACATTATCTGCAGCTTCCCTGCTTTGCCACTCAGTGTGATGTAAACTCCACTATAGATGGTGCCACCAAAAACAGAGACCTCCGCTGTCTCTACCCAGCTCACCACAGTTGAGGGCTATATTTTCCCAGGAGGGACAGGATGTCAATATGTAGCTACCTGCTGCTGAGGCTAAGCTCCGGGGAAATTCCTCTGAGAGGTGGGGGCTGCGTCTTCTATCCAAGCCCCACTCATGGAACACAGGCTTGACCTTTGGCATAGCATACTGAAAATATGTTAAATATGCTATAAAGCAGAGGTCCCATGTGGGGAGAGGCAAACCAAACCAAGAAGACTAGAGGTTACAGCTGCCTTCTCACCGTCTCTTCTAAAGCAGCAGAGTCACTTAGAGAGAAGCCTTCCATTGTCATCACCCCCAGCTTCAAAGCCAGGGCTCAAAGATTTTACCCAGGGAGAAAGGAAAGCCTTAAAGCAATGAGCTCTCAAATCTCTTCCTAAAGGAACTTACTTTATTTGCAAAAATGTGGAGAAGTTTAAGGGCTCTCTCAAAACAGTGGAATGTGTATAGAAAGGCAATTTAAAAGGGATAGGTAGATATGATAACAATATGAACTTAAACATTGGCTCTCTAGGTTACCAGAAAGAACCAGTAAAACAGACAGCTAAGAAGAACCTCCCTGGGTTCAGAATAAATCTCATCAAACAACGCCCTTAAAAAATCCCTTTAAAGAAGCCCAAATTTAATTAGATCAGATTAGGGAGCAATTTAATGCCTCTAGGCATCAGCCAACAATTTGTGGAGTTTAATAGCTGAGTGTAGTCTGGGAAAAAGAAAGACAGCCCTATCAAAACCACTGTTATCCCAGGATAGCTATGTACTCGCCCGTGGGTTACTACTCCAAGGCACAATCTCAGAGGCTTCACACTGTGGGGATGAAAAAGAAGAGATTTCGCTAAAATAATTCGACTAGCCACTAAAAAAA